TAGGCAAATCATGTTCATAAGAAACTTTACCAAAACACTTCAAAATTTGATATGAGCCCACATAACGGGGACTAAGCTTCCCTTTCTTTCCAAACCTCATCACACCCTTCATGGTTGAGAATTTCAAGTAAACCCACTGATGGCCTCTCCTTCTAACATCGGCATAGGACTATTGTCGACTTTGACTTGTTCTCATACTTTCTTTGATAAGTTGAAATTTCTTCTTAGCCTCATATATTAACTCAGGACCTATCAAGGCAACTTCACCAACTTCAAACCGACCTATAGGAGATCTAAACCTTTTACCGTAAAGCGCCTTAAATAGTGCCAGACCAATGTTGTGGATTGATAGGTAATATTGTAAGCAGACTCAATTTAAGGCAAATGATCATCCCAATTACCCTTAAAGTCAATCACACAAGATCTCAACATATCTTCCAAAGTTTGGATAGTACGCGAGATAAATTGTGTACCATGATTGGAGATAATGGATAAGGGAACTCCATGCAACCTAACAATTTCTCTCAAGTACAACTTAGCATAGTCCTTTGCCGAATAAGAAACCTTGACAGGAATGAAATTGCCGATTTCGTTATACGATCCACAATAACCCAAATTGAGTCATGTTGTTGTTGGGTGCGGGGTAAGCCAACAATAAAAATGCATATTAAAAGCTTCCCACTTCCAAGTAGGAATACTAATATCTTGGGATAGACCTCCCGTCTTTTGAAGTTCAACTTTCACTTATAGAGAATTAGGATATTTTGACACAAATTCCATAATATCCTTCTTCGTCCCATTCCACCAATACACCTCTACAAGTCATAGTACATCTTGGTAGTTCTAGGGTGAATGAAATATCGAGAACTATAGACTTCTGATAAGATCTACTCCCTTAAATCATCAACATTGGGAACACACAAACGACCTTGACACCGAAGCACACCATCTCCCCCTTGGGAGAAATCAATGGATTTCTCAAGCACCGCTTCCTTTCATTTAACCAAAGTTGGATCAAGACCTTGCTTGGTTTTTATATCTAACAGAAAAGACGATTTTGAATCATTATGTACCATAACACCGCCTTTGGTAGAGTCAACCAACCGAACACCCAATAGGGCCAATCTATGAATATCTCTAACAAGTTCCTTCTTACCATCCTCAAGATGAGCAACACTAACCATTGATAGCTGACTGAGAGCATTCGCCACCACGTTCGTCTTGCCAAGGTGATAAAGGACACTCATATCATAATCCTTTAGTAACTCAAGTCACCTCATTTGGCGACGATTTAGATCTTTCTACTTGAACAAATATTGCAAACTTTCGTGGTTGGTAAATACATCAACATGAACACCATATAAGTAATTCCTCCAAATCTTAAGGCAAAAACAACTGCTGCTAGTTCCGAATCATAGGTGGGGTAGTTTTTTTCATGAATCTTAAGTTTCCGTGAAGCATAAGAAATAACTTTTTCAATTTGTATAATAACATACCCTAGACCAACTCCTGAAGCATCACAATAAATAACAAATCCATTGGATCCTTTCGATAAAGTCAACACCACAGTAGAGGTACGCCTATCTTTCAATTCTTGAAAAATCTTTTCACATGCTTCAGACCATACAAACTTAACCTTTTTTTTTTGGGTCAATGTCGTCAATGGAGAGACAGTTGAAGAAAACCCTTCAAAAAACCTTCTATAGTAATAGAAACTTTGAATATCTTAAGTGGATAGAGGTCTAGGCAACTCTTAACCAAGAAAAGCCACAAATCTAAACAAAAATTCACATTTTCTAAACTTTGCAAAGAGTTTTTGGTCCTTGAGAACTTACAACACTATCCTCAAATGATCGGTATGCACATCCTCACTCCTGGAGTAAATCAAGATATTGTTGATGAACACACTCACAAACATGTCAAGTTATTATCTATGCACCCTATTCAAGAAATTCATAAAGGTGGAAGGAGCATTAGTCAAGCCAAAGGATAATACCAAAAACTCATAATGACCATACCGAGCTCGAATAGCCATTTTCAAAATGTCATCTTCTTTCATCCTCAATTGGTGATAACCCGACTGGAGGTCAATCTTAGAAAAGTAACTTTCCTTTTGTAGTTGATCAAACAAATCACTATCCTTAGGAGAGGATATTTAATATTAATGGTAACCTTGTCCAATTGGTGACCGTCAATAGATATACGAAGTGAACCATCTTTCTTTGGAACAAACAAAACTGGAGCACCCAATGGAGAGATACTTGATCGGATGAAACCCTTATCCAACAAATCTTTCAATTGCAATTTTAACTCTTTAAGTTCTTTCGAGTCCATATGATAAAGAGGAATAGATTTAGGTTTCGTATCTTGGAGAAGGTCCATACCGAAATTTGTTTCCCTTTCGGGAGGAACACCGATTAAATCATCGGGAAGCACTTCCCTAAACTCATTCACAACGGGGACTGAATCAAGAGTAGGGGTTTCAGAATCCATACCCTAACCCAAACAAGATGATACATACAACCCTTAGAAATCATTTTTCTAGTTATAAGACAAGAGACAAACTGACTTTTAGGCATATAATTTCCCTCTTTCCACTCTAGGATGGGTTCATTTGGAAACTGAAACTTGACTACTCAGGTTCTACAATTAATAGAAGCATAACATGAATGTAGTCAATCCATACCAAGAATAACATCAAAATCTAACATATTAAATTAGACAGATTGTACTGGTCAATCGTCGATGGGTTATTGGGACCTTAAAATTGACCCATTTTCGATGGATTCCATGTACGGTTCATAGGACTTTTTACGATCCGTACATGCAATCCGTAGTACCCAACTTTGAGTTTTAAAATTTAATTAACTCTAGGGTAACCTACGAGACCTACCCACGACTTGTCAGAAGAACGACAGACCATCCTGTCAAACCGAAAAAGGGTATTGGGACTTTTTTTGAACATTTCATTTCCCTGTACCTATGGTTGCCACCTATGGCCCATAGAAGCTTCTACGGTCCGTAAGTGGGACCCAGATATACACACACCAGCCCAAAAAAATTGCATTTTCCAAATTCGAGGTGTTACCATATGAAAATTCTTCTATTTTGGTTTGACACAATTGAGTTGGGAGTTCCGAATCATCATGTTGGAGATGGGTAATATTTTGAAAACAGTCTCTCAAATTCCACAAGGACGGAGTAAGGTATGCATACACTCTACCCCCCCTAGATCCCACTTGTAGGATTACACAAGGTATGTTGTTGTTAAACTTTTTATGGTTTAGAATTTTCATACTCTCGGCCTTAGATAATAATATTTTATGAAGCTTTTAATGCTTTCTGTTGAAGTTGATTTTTTTTACTCTAGCTATGTTGAAGTTTTTAATGGCTTTGCTTACTACTCCCTCTGTCCCAATTATGTGGAATCCTTTCCTTTTATGATTGTTCCATGAAGAATGTTACATTTTTAATTAGAAATAACATAACTTTCGAATTTCACTTACTCTTAGTGAAATGATTTAAAGACACAAATATCTAAGGTTTTTTCTTTTATAAAAAAAATGCATTTTAAAAGTCTTCATTTTTTTCTTAAACTTTGTGTCAACTCAAAAACGTTGGCCACATAAATTGGGCCGGTGAGAACAATTCTTTTTTGTATGTGATCCTTCTTTATTTGTATGGTTATTCAACTGGTAGATGGGGGGTTATTTATTCGTACGTGGTCCTTTTATTTGTTGTATGTTGTTATGTCCAATATCTTTTTTCAATAATAGTGTTGTCCATAAGAACTTGCACAAACTCCGACTAATGCCATAGAATATTTAACACCTCCCACCAACAGCTAACTCTGCCACCAAGGCTAAGAAAATTAGGAAGAAATCACCTAGTGTTTTTGTCTTTGCTTCGATTTGTATTTTTTATTGATCGTGGTGTAGAAACTAACTTTTGTGCACCTTGACTTATTCCACGGGGTACCTACCACACCTCCCACTAGCAACGAGGTCTCTGTTGAGATTTAGGTTACAAATTCAATGGGGGTACCTACACCTCCCAGTAGAAAGAAGGTATCAATTGAGATTTGAACCTAAGACTTCATAATTCCAATATATTTTTATGTACGTATATCTCTAGTGTGGTCCATATTTTCATTCTTTTATGGATTGCATATGTTAGTTTCAGAAGAATGAATGAAAAGGCAAACTTGATTTTAAATTATGGAGTATTAGGGTCCGAAAATCTTAATTCATATGTATTAAAAGATTTTTTTTAATCAAGTTGGCCAAGAGTGACCATATATAGAAACAAAAGGAATTACAAAAATGGTTCAGGCCCAAAATTCCCCAAAATAAAATCAAATACGGAAAGATAAAGAGGAAATAAACCTAATTCCTAGACCAAAATGGAAACAAATTCATCTTTAATTTCACCGACATCTGAGAAATTTCAGAGAATTCATCGACCCTCCGCTTTCGCCGTCTTCTCCGAACATTATTTTTAAGATCTCAACCTTTGTATTAGTAGGAGTCATGGTAAAGGAAGAACAATTGAAAGCTACGTTCTTCTTACCAAGAATGAGATCCAAGAAAAGAAACCAAGCTTGGATACACTACACATCAGATAATGAAACCTCTCACTAGCGTCATATAATCTTGTCCGGTGAAGATCTCTTCAACTTGATTCAGTTAAGATAATCTCCTATAAGTTGAATGTAGCTATTCTTTACCTCTCCTTATTTGTGAATTTTGTTGTAGTGTTTAAACACCATCAGTCTGGTTTGATGTCCTGTACCCCTACTGGGAATTACTCAACAGATTCATTCATACCCTCTCCTAGATAAGTAATTGCTTCTTCCATTTCTTACCTTTCACAATTGTAAATCCCCTAATTCGATAATAATCCGACAGGTTGAGCTCCAATGGAGCTATTACCACTTTCAAAACTCAGTCAAATTAAGGTCCATACAATTCTATATGGTTAAGTGTCTTGATGTCGTTTGCTTATCTTACTTTCTTTGTAACAACATGAGTTTTTACCCCTTTATTACCATACAAGACAAATAATTTGTTTTGGACTTTAGAAACTTGATGTGCATCTAAAATTAGCCGTGCTTTCCCCTCTCTTAGGACCTCCTGAAATGATTCAAATACTTTATCTTTTATTCCTGCAAAAAAGAAAATTATATTAGTGAAAAAATCAACAACTTTGTTACCCTCCGTCAACACATGCTTCACCTCCACATGTTCATTCCTCATCAACCACCTAATCTTCGTAATGAGAGGACAAATGCACCAAGGGACATCCCATGATCCTTCAAAAATCTTTGATAGAATATGAGAGTCAATCTCCATACTAACAGGAATCAATTGATTTTCTAAATAGTAGAGAAGCCCTTTTTGCAATGCCATAGCCTCTGCTTCAAGGATAGTTTTTACTCCCAAAAAATGAGATGCAACAAATATGAAATCACCTTTCCAATCCCTAAAATAGAAACCACCAACACTAGGGCCTGGGTTTCCTTTAGAAGCTCCATTTGTGTTAGACTTGTAGAATCCTGCATTGGGGGCCTTCCAATAGATCACCCTTAAAACAATACATGGTTTATACCCCTCTAGGGATCTAACTAGGCATGGCCACTTTTCTGGGACATTTCTAGGCCAAGGGTATCTTACAATAGCTATTCTATGAATATTTCTATCTATTTCAGCCACCATTTTATCAAGTGTCATCTTATCCCCATGTTTCAGTTTATTCTTCCTTATTCACATTTCCTATAAGATCAAACAGGGGATAGCATTAAATAGAGGCTTCAATTTAGAGATACAATCTGCATTCCACCATTTGTAAATTGTGTCCTGAAGTTGTATAAATGGCCCCTCCACTCCAACAACACTAGCAAGCATTCCCCACAACTTCTTGGCATTTGTACATACTACAAAGAGATTTTGATAGCTTTCATTAATCATAATATTACAAAAACAAGAATGCACCTCCTCTTCAATACCTATGCTAATTAGGAATTATACTATAGAAATTCTCCTATCGATTAACCTCCCGAGAAAGAAAGAGATCTTGAACGGAACTCCTTTCTCCCATACTTTTAAAAAATCTTCTTGTATAACCCCAAATGTCCTTATAACATTCCATTCTGACTTGATGGAAACTTGCCAGTGACTTCTAGCATCTAGTATGGATGGTCCTTTTCTTCAGATTATTGTACAATGCTAACCTTTCTATTAATGTTTTTCAACCACAGCTTCAGGGAATAAATGTTTTAGTAACTCTTCATTCCAGGTTCCTCCTTCCATTAGTGTATTAATATCCTGAATTCATTTCTATAGCAAACAAGTAGATATTAATGTAGAGCTGCAACTTGAGTCTAATTATCAAACATGAGGCTTGAATTCCCACAATTAGGCTGCCACCAAATCTCTTGGTCAATAGCATCCCTGGCCATTAACATATGTTTCCAAGTTTGTTAACCCCCTTTCAATTCTACTACTGGTGGTCTATACCTTTTGCAATATTTATTCCACATAAAATGTGACCACATAGAATTTTTAAATTCTAAAGTTCCACCACTGTTTTGTAAAAAGTGCTCTAGAGACATCAAACAAAGATTTAAAACCCAAGCCATCTTCCTTTTTAGGTAAACATATATCTGGCCAAGCAACCCAATGTTTGTTTATTCCTACCCAGTAAAGTTCCACATTAATCTAGCAAATACATTGTGAAGGTCATGTATCACACATTTAGGAGGTATTATGGCTGATAATTGATATATTGGGACTTTATAAAACATTATTAATCAAAACAACTTTACCTCCAAAAGATAGTAGCTTACCCGTCTATGCTTATGAGCCTTCCTTTTCATGGCATGCCCAATTGGGAATCCAAAGTACATAAGAGGAAATGAGTCTCTAGTGAAGCTAGAACACTCCTCTATGACTATGATGTCCCCATGTGCACCCTTGTTATAAACATAGAAAGCACTTTTTTCTTTGTTAATTTTTTTACCAAATTGCTTTTCACAATCCCGCAATGTCTTCATAATCACCTTTAAAGAGAAACTATCAGCACTAGCATATATTATTGTGTCATAAACATAGGCTAAGTGATTGATCTCCTCACTCCACTTAGGATCCTTGCTTGACTCCCTAGTAGAGTGAAAAAAAATTAAACGCTTGTCAATTTATCAACACTAAATACCGATTGTTGGCCACCAATCTCCATATTTTGTATGTACAAGTCTGTCAAAAGCCACTCACCCAAAACTTTCATCAAGAAGCCTTAATCTGCCATATCATAATCTTTAGCCATGTCAAGTTTAAATAATGCATTTGTTGTTTTGCTCCTCTTTCTGATATCCACTTTGATTTCTTGGGCAAGAAGGACATTCTCAGTAATACTTCTACCCCTAATAAAGCCAGATTGATTAGAAGAGATAAGCTTAGAGAGCTGTCCTTTTAGCCTATCACGAAATTATCCTAGAGATGATCTTATTTGAGAAATTACTAAGACTAATTGGTGTAAAATAAGAAAAAGGAGATCACCCCTTCCTTTTTAGGGATTGCGACCAGATTAGTGTGAGATAGATTAGGATAAAGAAATCACCACCTCATATTTGTCTTTACCAACCCTATAAACCCATCAAGCTCAATAGCACTTTCATCATTCCACTCAAACACCACATTTCTGACTTCTTCAAAACTAGGGTGCCTATTCAGCAAGGCATTGTCTACCTCATTAACTAATGAAGGGATAAGATCAATCAGAGAAGTTTCATCTCCCTTAACACTACTAGAAAATTGATCTTTGTAAAAACTCACAGCTTCCTTCAGCGCCTTATTCCCATCCTCCCAAGAGCCATTAGATTTTTGGATTCTACAAATTTCCAATCTGTTCCTTCTCCCCTTCACAAGATTGTGGTGAAATTTAGTAATTTATCTCCCTTTGTGAACCACTTGATACAAACTTTCTGTCTCAAAAATTCTTCTTCAAGTTTGAAGTACTTGTAATATTGAGCATGAGCTCTATTAGAAGAAATAGGGAAGTCCTCTAATAGTTTCTCTTTGATTCTCACAATATCTTCTCTAATAATTTTCTTAAAAATATCCCCGTAACATTCCCTAGTCCATATTAATATGCATGCTTGGTTCTTTTAATTTTCATTTTAAACCTCACAACAACATCATCATTGTCTGCAACCTAATTTTGCAACACCACTTGCTTGAAATGCTCCTTTTCTATCCAGAAGTTAAGGCACTTAAATGGTTTATTGACCATTATGAACCCCATATGACAGTAACATAGGTGCATGGTTTGACCATGATCTGGGAAAATGTTCTAGTTCCACATATCCCATTCCCCCAAGAAAAAGTTGATTGACCACATCCTATTCGATATTTTAAAGATACACCCCTGGTCAGGCCTCCCATTCCACAAGGTTAATGGGCACCCCTTAAAATTAATGTCCACCAGCTCATAAGAATTAATGCAACAAGAAAAGTCCTCCATCCCATTGTGGTAGACAGGTAGACCCCCTATCTTTTCTTCAGCTTCCATTATGAGTCGAGGGAGAGATATACTCTGGCAGATGGAGTAAAAATCCTCCCATCAAACACGTCTTTCCTGTTGTGAACACTTTGCATAAACCAAAGTATAAATCATTTTGTCCCCATTAGAAAACACCAAATTAACAGTTAGTTGTTGTTCTTTATCAGATATCACCTCCAATATAATATCTTCCTCAACGAAAACTCACATCTGCCCTTTTACATTGTAATTTGCATCCATCCCTAGTTTTCTTTTATACTGTTGAATGTACTTGGATTATTTAAATGGTTCAATAATTGCCACCAAGTTAAATTTGTAATCCATGTGTAGCATTTGTACTCTATGAAAGAAATGATTAGATCTGATTGACCGAATTTTCCATATAGGGCTTTAAACATCATTTCAATATTGTTTTTCCAGCCCTCACAGATGGGTACACGCGTAGCATGTTTATGACGTAGACCTATAGTCATATATATAACAAAATACTAAGGTTTGGTGAGATGATGTAGTTGTTAATAACAAGGCCACCAGGTGGTTCTATGTGTTTGGACGACGATAAGCCACCGCCCAGAAGTGCTCTCTGAGCTTGATAGCTCCGAGCGGTAGGTCACAATCTGAATTTCAGACTGAAAAGCGGAAAGTAATAAGTTCAACGGGTAAGAGAATGTGTTTAACCGATTGAAAGCGTGAAAAGCGTCCCTAACGGTATAGCGAATAGGGCGTTTAACTATAACTCACAAGGTATTAGAATCCTTCAGTATATTTTATGAATTGAATTAAATGTACAAAACAATTGCACTAGATGAGGGTGAAGAGAATGTTATTTCTCCTAGTATTATTGATCATAGCAAAGTTTCTTCTAGCACTATAGATTAGTGTTGTAACTAATATGAGAGGAGAATTCAAGCTTAACATGTTAGAGTACCACCTGACTAAGGCTTATATATTGTTTTATTAACCATCCAGTCCTACTAATTGTCTCAATCCCATCTTCAAAGCCATGTTTAGCTGCTTGGAAGCACACATACATCCTAAGAAATTTTCTTTTACCTTTTGCCAAGGCTTTCTTGGATATATATATCACCACATCAGAATCAGAATCACTCTCTGATCTCAATTCTTGGGCATATGCTTCAAATCTATTGTAACCATCCACGTAACTTACTACCTACCAATTCTCTAAAACAATCCTCTCAACTCTTTTCATCTTTAACTTGCTAACATTAGGCTTGAATTCTCCTTCCCAGTTTCCCCTCATATATTTGATATGCTCATATCATTGATCTTATACTAAGGATTATTTTGGACTTTTGTACTAAAGTTTTGTACTTAAGTTTGAGCATCACCTCCATGATTCTGGTAATTTAGATTACAATGGTAATAGATAATTTTTTGAATAAAAAGAAAGGTGTTTGTAAACTGCTAAAGTTGATTCTTTTTTATTCCAGTCATGTTGAAGCTGATTTATTTTTTACTCTCTACGTTGAAGCTTATAATGGCTTTATTTACTACTCTCTGTCCCAATTTACATGACACCTTATCCTTTTAAGTCTGTCCCAAAAAGAATGTCAGATTTCTATAGTTAGAAATAACTTAACTTTAAAATTCCTCTTTTACCCTTAGTAAACTGATTTATAGCCACAGAAATATCCAAAGTTTGTTTCCGACGACACGTTTTAAAAATCCTCCCTTTTTCTTAAACTTTGTGCAAAGTCAAATGGTGCCAATATAAATTGGGACACAATGAGTAATTCTTTTTTGCATGTGGTCCTTGATTTGTTAGAAATTTATGGTTATTGAATTGGTTGATGGAGGTTATTTATTTATATGTGCTCCTTTTCCTTGTTGTATGCCGTTAGATTCTAATAGAGAGAGTTATGTATGTATATCTACGGTGTGGAGTTAATGATAGGCTCCAATTTGGGAGACAAACTCTGGAGAGACTAAAGGGTTAAGGTTGAGCAGGACGAAGACTAAATATTTAGAGTCTAAGTTTAGTAAATCTACAGATGAGGTCGGAGTAGAAGATAGGATTGATGATTAGGTCATCTCAAAGAGAGGATGTTCCAAGTATCTAGGGTAATTAATTCAAGGTAATAGGAAGATCGATGAGGATGTCACACATCGTATTGATTCTGGGATGAGAAAAATAGAG